CTTGGACGTCAACTAAAGGTGCGACAATACATTCCAATCCAAAGTCATGTTGTATCTTTCTTCATATCAAGCAACTCCTTTATGTTTTATCCAATCTCCCGCCACATAATAGCCAATATTTCAAATTATGTCCGTAGACCTAGTAACTGACCACCATGAATCCCAAATCACTCTAAGCTTTTCTCAAGACGTGAAGAAATACTATCACAGAACCCACACGCTACTCTACCACTCTCCCACTTTGGTCAAACTCACTCCTTTAAGTAACTACCCAACTCCTGTTCCTCACACTTGGCCTTCTATAAGTTTCTCCACCGCAAGGCACCTCCCACATGTCCTTCCTCATCCTTCGCTTCCCAGTTGTTGCCTTAAGTCAAAATCTACCTCTGTAACACTTGAACCGATAGATCGCTACCAACTTTAAACCCTTCAGGAAATCATCGTTCTCGAGCCATCAATAACGGGAATGCCGATTCGATCCTGAACAACTGCACAATACGACCTCTGATAGCCTCTTTCTTGGACCCAAGGAGAATTGAAGGAAATAATAACACCGGCAAACATAACACATCATAACCAATCGAGGACGATGACGCCACATCACAAGCGAAGATTCCACCACGCTCGAAATTATCGAGTCCCGCTACTCCATCAACCCAAGTCTGAACATTCTTAGTTCGATTGCCTTTCTTTCGTCGGAAGTAAAATACCGAATCTCTGTATCATGCACTGAGTTAACCTTCTCTCAAGTTATTCACTGCCCCGAGACATAGGCAAGCATCCTACCATCACCTCAATACTGTGCTATAACAACTCATGAGCATCATAGCAACCTGTGCATAGCCTCAATGCTCTCAGAAGTACAACTACTGAGCTGAAATGACAGAATATCCTTCTACAAGGCGACGACAATAGCCCAAACAACTACGAAAGGAGAAACATACCGCACCACATCTGTAGTACCATTAAAATTCCTCGATTCTCGATCAATACCAAGTGCGTCATGTCGCATAAGATTGAATTGGATGGAAATGAAGGCATAAGCCTCAAAGGAATCAAATCGCACGATGAGGAATCAAGAAGGGAAGTGCTCCAAACAGCCCTGTAGCCTCTCGAAGATAAGTACAGATGTCTTCGTTCCGATCCGCAAGACTCTACTAGACTCGCTCATGACTCGTGAGACCTAAGTGAACCTAGTACTCTGATACCATGTTGTCACGACCCAAAAAAATCCTTGAAACGTCGTGATGGTGCCGGACACTACTGTCAGGCAAGCCAACACCAATAATTAGGAAATTCTCATTTTAATAATTCTTAAATCCTAAATTTACTTCAATTTAACTAGTAAAAAGTGAATTTACAGAATAGATAACAATGTTTTCAAATTTCAATACTGAACATCCCATAATCATCCCAGAACCCGGTGTCACAAGTGCATGAGCATTTTCTAGGATTTTTAAAATAAAATACAATAACTGTCCGGAATACAAATTTGGACAGGAAAGAAAATACAATACTATGAAGTAGACTCTGCTGGCTGCGGGTCGTACATAAGAGGAAGCTCGCCTAAATCCCCGTAATAACTGTGCCTTTGCGCCCACAAGGCCACTAGTCATATATGTACAAGCACAAAACATACAACAAGTGTAGTATGAGTACAAAAACAATGCGTACCCATTAAGTATCCCGCCTAACCCCGAAGAAGTAGTGACGAGGGGTCGACTCGGACACTTACTATGGGCTATAAATAAAATACAAATGGTATGAATAAGTATGGACTTCGTAGAACGGTTGTAAGCTCATTATTTTGAAGTAAGTAAGAACTCTTTTATAATTAAGGAATCTCCAAATTTATTTTCATCTTTTAACAATCTATATCTCTGGCCAGTGAGGCCATATCAATTGTCATAAATTTCAGGGCAAGCAATACAAGCATGCGCAAATCATGCCGAAATCGTACGACACGATCCAACATAATATTTAAACTATGCACTGCCAGAGGGTCGAATGGCGCGAACCATAGATGCATCTATTTAATCTACCGAGTTATTCAGCTCGTTCCACAAAAGATAACACATTCAAATAATCAATCAAGAATTCATCAAGGGGCAATTATCCAAGGAAAAAGGCAATTTCTTTTTTAAAAGTCAAGAAAATGATGTCTAGACTTTTAGAAATTTATTAACAAAGTTCGATATGATTGAAGCACTTTAAATTGACAACAAGATTGCAAATATTACAAGTAAAGCATGCTTTTGGGTCCTAGACTACCCAAACTTAAGCATAATAGAAGCTACGCACGGACTCTCGTCACCTCGTGCGTTCGTAACCCCCACAAATAGGAGCACACATTGATTTATTTCACCTATGGGGTAAATTCTCTCTTACAAGGTTAGAAAGGAGACTTACCTCGCTCCAAAATTTCATAACCGGCTCAAGCCTCTCTAACAACTCAAACTGATGCCCGTCGCTCCAAAACTTGTCAAATAAGTTGCAACCCAATGAAAATATACTCTAATACTAATGATTAGTCAATTTATTACGATTTCTAACCCTGATCAAAAAGTCGATAAAAATCACCCTCGGGCCCACATGCCCGGACTCCAAAAATTTTCGAAGATAACTTTACCCATAACCTCACAAACTAAAATATATAGTTTATTCTCAATTATATGCCGAATTTCATGGTCAAAATCCAAAAATACCAAATTTTAGTTCTTCTACCGAAACCCCACAATTTATATTAATTTCCATGTTCCAATCCATGTATAATTCATGTATTTAAATCACAATGGGAAGAAACCATTTACCTAGAATTGCTTGATGAAAATCTCCCCTTGAAGCTCTCCAAAATCGTCCAAACTAAATGAAAATGGGAGAAAAATGGGCCAAGTCCCATTTATAAAAACCCTTCTGCCCAGCGACATTTCCGCACCTGCGGAACAGTAGCCGCACCTGCGGCTTCGCAGATGCGGCCAAAACCTCGCACCTGCGCATTTCCTCTGCCTAGCACAACTCTGCACCTGCGCCTTTCCTTCCGCATCTGCGCCTTCGTAGGTGCGGACATACCCTCGCACCTGCGCTCCCAGACCCTTCTCTCACTCTCGCACCAGCGACACACCTCCGCATCTGCGACCTCGCAGGTGCGGATAACCCTTCGCACCTGCGATCATTGCCTAGCTTCGCCCAAACTGCACCTGCGACCACTGGCTCACACCTACGGCCCTTATTGCGCATGTGCGATTACACCAGATATCAGCTGCCTCATCTTTTCTTCCATGTCCAAACTCGATCCATTAACCATCTGGAATCCACCTGAGGCCCTCGGGACCTCAACCAATTATACCAACACATCCCAAAACACATTACGTACTTAGTCGAGCCTTAAAATCACATCAAACAACGTCGAATTCATGAATCGCACCCCATTCCAAGCTTAATGAAATTTAGAATTTCAACTTCTACATTCGATGCCGAAACCTATCAAATTACGTTCGATTGACCTCAAATTTTGCACACAAGTCATAATTGACATTATGGACCCACTCCAACTTCCAGAATCGGAATCCGACCCTGATATCAAAATGTTCACTTCCGGTCAAACTTCCCAATAACCTTCAAATTTCTAACTTTTGCCAAACGACTCCAAAATGACCTACGAACCTCCAAATCCACTTCCGGACGCGCTCCAATTACCAGAATTATCATACGGAGCTATTCTCAGACTCAAAATTTCAAACGGTCATCGATAACATTGAAATGCACTTCAACCCAAATTTATGAAATTCTTCCAAAATGATAACTTTCACAATAGGTGACGAAACGCTCCCGAGTCATCCAAAACCCGATCCGGACATACGCGCAAGTCCGAAATCATCATACGAACCTGTTGGAACCTTTAAACCCCGATTCCGAGATGGTTTACTCAAAAATCTAGCCTTAGTCAATTCTTCCAACTTAAAGCTTTCGAAATGAGAATTTTCTTTCCAAATTAACTCTGAACTCCCTGAATCTCAATTCTGACTACGCGTACAAGTCATAATACCTGAAGTAAAGTTGTTCATGGCCTCAAACTGCTGAACAATGTACTAGACCTCAAAACGATCGATTGGGTCATTACAAACTAAAGACTGTGAAAAAAGCATTGGCTATTTGGAGTAAATTATCTTTTGGAGACATTTTCAAGAAAATATCATTCCTAGAGGATGTAATCAAAGTCCATGAGGTGGAGTTTGAGCTTAATACAACTGCCAATAATAGAGCCAAACTACACAAAGTTCAGGCTGATCTTACAAGGTATTTGCAGTTAGAAGAGGAGTTCTAGAGGCAAAAGGCAGGGATGAAGTGGTTTCAAGATCGTGATAGAAACAAAGAATTCTTCCATGTTCAAGTTAAAAGGAAAGAGGAAGAGATTACAAGCATCCAAAATTCTAGACAACAATGGAACTTGGCTTGAAAATCAAGATAATACGGCAAATGAGGCAGTAGAATTTTTCAAGGCTCAATTCACTAAAGATAGGGTGCCTACAAATTTTGATATTGTGAATCACACTCCAAAAATGATCACTGAGGAGCAGAATGCTAATTTGTGGGCATAACCTACTACGGAGGAGGTGAAGAATGATTTGCTTGGCTTAAATGGAGATAGTTCTAGTGGGCCGGATGGTTTCACTGGCTTATTTTATCATGTATGTTGGGAGGTAATAGGTGAAGATGTTCTCAACATGATCTAAGCTGTCTTTTGTGGTGCTAAGTTGCCTAAGTTCATAACTCATACAAAACTTGTTCTACTGCCTAACAAGAAGAATGTGACAACCTTTTCTGATATGAGGCTATTAAGTTTGAGTCATTTCTCAAACAAGATCATATAAAGGGTGCTTCATGAGAGGTTTTTGGAGTTGCTTCCAACCCTAATATCTCCTAACTAGGCTGGATTTGTTAAAGGTTGGAGCATTGTGGAGAACATATTGTTGATACAAAAAATAGTCACTGACATAAGAATGAGGGGCAAGCCATCTAATGTAGTGATCAAGCTTGACATGGCCAAAGCTTATGATAGAGTCTCCATGCTATTGTTGACAAAGGTGTTAATGAAAATGGGGTTTGGAGAAGTCTTCATTGATATGATATACAGGTTGGTATCCAATAATTGGTATTCAGTGCTATTGATTGGGAAAGCTAATGGCGTTTTCAAGCCTACTAGGGGTGTCAAACAAGGGGATCCTCTATCACCTACCTTATTCATATTGACTATTGAAGTTCTTGGAAGAGAATTGGATGCTTTGTTTGATAATCCAGACTTTATTGGATTTGGGATGCCAAAATGGAGTCACAACATCAATTACCTATCATATGCCAATAATACTATTATCTTTAGTTCATCACATTATGGAGCTAGACAGTTGATTATGAATGTGTTGGAAGACTATGAGGCAACTTCTAGACAGAAAGTGAACAAGGAAAAATCATTATTCTACATGAATGAAAGTGCAGATCCCGAAGAAGCTAATGCACTGCACTTGGCCACCATATTTCAAAGACATCCATTCCATTTTACATATCTTAGGTGTCTTATTTTTCACAATAGAAGGCAGAAGGTTTTTTACAAGGTATCATGTTCAAAGTACATGAAAGACTTCAATCTTGAAAGGGCAAACTTCTATGTATAGGAGGAAGGGCAGTGCTAATTGCTCACGTACTTGAGAGCATGCATATTCATCTACTATCAGCTGTGAATCTACCTAAATATGTGATAAATGAATTGCATAGGATGTTTGCTAGGTTCTTTTGGAGAAATTCTGGAAATAGAAGGGCTAGACATTGGGCATCATAGGATACATTGTGCTTGCCTAAAGATAAAGGAGGCATTGGTTTTAGATCTCTTCATGAAGTGTTCAAGGCATTGTTTGCAAAGTTGTGGTGAAATTATAGAACAAAATACACATTGCGGATTAATTTTATGAGAAACAAGTATTGTTAGAAGATCAATAATGTCCTAGTTCCTGGGAAAGCTGGATCTCATATGTGCAAGAAGATGCTTGAGATGAGGGGTCTCCTTGAACATCAAATATGATGACAAATAAAGATAGGTAATGCATATTATTTGTATGACAATTGGATTGGACTTGGTGCTCTATTTCATGCCACAGGTCTAGACCATTGATGTGATGAATTAATAAGTCATGTTAGTGATGTGGTGCTTGATAGGAGCTGGAATGAGGAGCTTTTGAGGGAACTTCTTCCAGATGAACTAGTTGATCACATTATGGAGAAAATCACACCAAAAAACAGTCCTGAATTGAAGGATAAGGCATTTTGGAAGTTGGAATCCAAAGGACATTTCTCAATGAAGACTGCTTGGCAACACGCAAGGAAGAGGAAACATGAGAAGAATCTTTATAAGTTTATATGGGTAAAGGGGCTACCATTCAAGATTTCTTTCTTCATGTGGAGTTTATGGAAAGCTAAACTACCACTGGATGATTACATGAGAATAATGGGGTACTTCATGCCATCATAATATTGTTGTTGTAAGAAACCTAGTGAAACCCTAGCTCATATTTTCTTGAGGTCTCCAGCAACAATGTTCATATGGAAGTATTTTTGTGGACCAGAAAGGACTAAAATTGGTGGAAAACATATAATATAGGTGATAAATGATTGGTGGAGAAGGCCAGGCAACACAAGCTTGAAGACAGCCTACCAAGCTATTTCAACCTTGATTGTGTGGAATTGTGAAAGAAAATAACTTCTGGAATACATGGGAAGATTGTCTCTATTCATAGATTGATTTTTTAGGTGTCTAATGACCTTCACAGGTTATTGAAGATGAGAAGAATATATTTTTAAGGGGTGATACCAAACTGGCCAGACTTGCATGACAAACTACAACAACGCATTCCAAGGTTGAAGTATACAAGGGTTTTGTGGCAATTACCTCCGGTTGGATGGTTGAAATGCAACACTGATGGTCCATGCAGAGATACAAATGGAAGGACCTCTTATTCATTTTGTATTAGATATGGCATTGGTGATTTAATATATGCTCAAGCAAAGGAGATTTTTTAGGCCACAAACAACATTGTTGAAGCTAGAGCCATCCTTGAAGCTGTAAGGTACATAGTTAATTCTTATCTTTCTCCTTGTATGATTGAGACTGACTCTTTAATGATGAAATGAGCCCTTGATGATGTGTGGGAACCCCCTTGGAATATTGTTACATGGGTGGAACAAATTAACAGATTAAGGGCTAGGTGTGTAGTTGACATAGCTCATATACTCAGGGAAGGAAACCAATTAGCGGATCATCTTACTAATTGACTTTGGACAGTAATACTATGGTACAGGCTCCTTCATTTGATGAACTTGATATTAAAGGGAGAAAAATCTTGAATAGTGACAAGTTACAATTGCCCTACATTAGGGTGAGAAATGCAAAATCTCTTTTGTAATGATGCTAAATGTTGTGGATAAGAAAGTGATGATGTATGTAGGTGTGGTGATTTGGATATTGATTATGTTGATTGAATGAAAAGATGTAAGGTCTATAGATGGGAATCATATTGATCTACCTACTCAAATCCTCGGGGAGGAGAGTAGGGAGGTGTTTTTCACTAACTTTGTTTACTTTTTTGCAGGTACAAATGAGGGAGCTGGATTTTATGTTTTAGCCAAATTAACTAGGGTGGTATTTGCACCTTAGTTGTTCATTCCCTATAGGTGTAACCATTGCATAGTTCAACTCCATGTTGCATCAACTGAACACTTGAAGAAGCCTCAAACTTGGCAGCTAATGGAATGCCATTATGACTTCTTGTGCACTCATGCATAGTTATACACTATTTCTTATCATGGAAGCACAACAACTGGAATTACCCGTATGAAGATAATACTGCCCAGATTTCACATGCTGGGGAATAGGATTTGTAATTCATTTGCGGGTTGTTTTAATGCATTTTGGAAGAGCTTCCATACATATTCAACTAATACTATACATCAGGAAGGTACATATGATTTGTTTTCATACATTCATGCAGAGATCATTCACGACTTATTGAAGTCAAATCACAAGGTCCGTAAGAATGCCTCAAACTGGAGAGTGCCAATTGCGCATGATTTGGCAAGCTTGTATATTTGGACGGGCAATGGTAGTTGGTTTGGACATCAAGATGTGCAATTTTATCGAGTGTTTGGCTTTTGGTATTGCAGAGACTCACGCGTGAACGCTAGTTAATTCTACAAAGCTTGGTGCACAAATTGGGATTATACCATTCATGGATGAGCTTGGCCAATCTCCTTAATTCATTATCTTAAGTTTGATATAGTTCATTGTGTAATACCAAATTTGACTACTTTGCTCAACTTTGGTAATATGATTGATGGATTTTCATGCTTTACTCTTCTTCACTTTGTGAGGCCTCCTGCACTTTGTATTTTGATGTTCTTATTGTTAATAAAAAATACAACTAAGCGCCCAGCTTAGTGGTTTATTAGCTTAAAAAAAAGAAAAATTGTAGGTATTGTTCGGTTTGAAAAATAATTTAAGGTCTTCCTTGACCCGTTGGAGATTTTCTAGCCTACCCTATTATAATTGATCCTAGTCAACCCCGTTGAGCCTCTAATCCTTTTATTTGGTAGCCATGTTACAAGCATTGACCTTTTGTCCGAATTATCTATATTTTGAATACCCTACATCTCTTGGCACTTTTAAATTACAAAATGAGCTGAATAGCTAAAGTTGGAGTAGAGAATTGGTTCGGGTGTGTAAGGAAGCAATTTAAAAGTGAAAGGCAAAAGAAAAAAAAGTTTCTTGCAGTGAGGGATGCTAGTTGAAAAGACAAAAAAAATTGGAAAAGAAGAAATAATTGGAAAAAAAAAGAGAAGAAAAGGAATAAAAGTGTTCCTTTGAAAATAAAAGAATATCAAATGAATTAGAAGGACTAGGTGTTGAGCTGAAATAAAAGAAGTGTGCAAAAATTGAATGTTTTGTAAGTTCTTAGGGGAGTTCAGTCAATATCTTTTCAACTGTATCACTTAGCCTAGATTACAACCCTTAAAAAGTCCTCTTTGATTTTAGACTGAGCAGGCCTACATTAATAGAGACTTACATAATGTGCAAGCCTATGGTACCTTTCATGTGCATGTGAAATTCTTTGAGAGAGTAACTGATCTCTTCCATTGTTTGAAGTCCTTAAACTATATTCGAATTTTATTTGAGTGTGTGGACTATCTCTTTTTGTTTTGTGGTGAGGGAATATGTTTCATTATGGATAGGTGATATTATTAGGCTCTTTGGTCAGAGTAAGTATGTTGGTCTGGAAATAGTTATGCTAGGGAGTCAGTGTCTAAGGTTGAGATGTCCCGAATTTGCTATTTGATTATTTTGAATTGTTCAATATTGTGCGTGGCATGTTTTTAACATGGGTAAGTGAGTTATGAATATGGAAAGGTCTAATTGTTGGTATTAACTAAAGTCATGGGGGTGCTCGAGCTTAAATTCATAGTGTGGTTTAGTTATGAGATTGATGTGTTTAATTGAAAAGTTTGATAGTTTAGCTATAAGAGTCGAGCTTAATTTTGTTTCGTCTATTGTAGGTTGATTTTACTTTTCTCGAGGACGAATAAAGGTTTAAGTGTGAGATGGTGATATTGGGCATATTTCTATATGTTTTAATGTTAATTTAATCATGTTTTGAGACTTTTTTGGTGATATTTTATGGTGAATTTACTAACTTATATTAATTATTAATTTTTATACTAACTAAATTTGGTGTGGTGTTTTCGGACTTTTGGATACAAAGATATAATAAAAATATACTTCAATAAAAGGACCAAAGTTTGCAAGCTTTGCTTGCAACTTAGCATGCAAATTGGAGAACCAGTAACATTAGCAGTAAAGTGTAACGACACGGCCGGTCGTGTAGAGTATTTTAGCACTGCTTCCCCTATTTGATGCTTTATTTATGTGTATTTGTGGTTACGTAACTTACCGGGGTGATTAGTTTGGTTTCAGAGTAAATTAGGACACTTAGTCCCAAGGTTGGGAGCTTAAGTTGAAAGAGTTGACCAGAGTTTGACCTTTGTTTAGACGACTCCGTAATGGAGTTTTATTGATTATAATAGTTTCGTATGGTTATTTTAGACTTAGGCGTATGTCCGGATTTTAATTTGGAGGTCCATAGGTTGATTTGAAGCTTTTTGGCGAAAGTTGGAGGTTTGGAAGGTTGAGAAGTTTGACCGAGAGTTGACTTTGTTGATATCCGATTTGGTTTTTTGTTTCGGAAGTTAGGAAAGGAACGTTGTGTCATTTGAGACTTGTTTGCAAAATTTAAAGTCATTCCCGATTGATTTGATGTGATTCAGCATAAGTTTTGGAAGTTGGAAGTTCGTTAGGAATGAATTGGGGTGTGATTCATCATTTTGATGTTGTTTTGTGTGATTTGAGGCCTCGAGTAGATTCGTGTTCTATTTTGGGATTGGTTGGTATGATTGGAAAAGGTATTATTGGTCTCGAGTGTGTTTCAGATAGGTTTCGGACCATTTAATTATGTATTGGATTGTTGTTCTGATGTCTGGTGTGTTCTTCTTCGTGATCGCGACACAATGGTTGCATTCGCGTAGGCTTCTTGGTTGGCAGTTGAATTATTCTTCTCGTTCGCGAGTTAGTGCATGTGTTCATGATGCTTTGGAAGGTAGTGGCCTTTACGATTGCATGATGGGCGGCGCATTCGCGTAGAAGGGAGGCCGGTTGGGGACTTCAGGCCTTAAGCCTTCACATTCGCGGAAGAGGGGACGAGTTCGCATAGGAATGGTAGTGTTGGTCATCGCGTTCACGACCTGGATGTCACGTTCGCATAGAACGTTTTGGCGTCTTGGGGAATTTTTTCTTCGCGATCGCGAAGGCATATCCGCGATTGCAAAGGGTATACCTGGGCAGACTTTAAGCATTATATTTTTCTAGGGTTTTTGTCATTTTAACATATTTTGAGTTATGGCGCTCGGTCTAGGGCGATATTTGGAGAGCTTTTCATCACAATTGAAGAGGTAAGTGATGTTTAATCACTTTTAATGATAGATATTGATTATTATACGTAGTTTATGTGAATTTAAGGTTAAATTTGGGGATTTAGGGCTATGTTGTTGGAGACTGAGATTTGATGATTTGAGTGTCGATTTGTGCTTAGAATTGGATGAAATTTATATGATTTGACTCGTATTTGAATGGGTGTTCATAATTTATAAATTTTATTGGGTTCCGAGGTGCGAGCTCAAGTTTGACCTTTTGGGTTGACTTTGCATATTTGATTCAAGACCTTAGCGGTATTATTTAGAATTGTTTCTGATGGCTGTTATTAATGATATTAAGTCGTATTGGTTAGACTCAAGTCGCTCAGAGTTTTGATTTGCGTTTGAATGGCTTTTTGGAGTATTGATCTCCACGTTTTGAGGTATGTAACATATCTAAACTTGGATTTGAGGGTAATTAACCTTGAGACATATGTTATATGAGATGAGTTGGGG